AAAAAAAAAAAAAAAAAAAAAAAAAAAAAAAAAAAAAAAAAAGAAAAAAAAAGAAAAATTCTGAGTCGTGAAAACTATCAACAAGAAGCAGCGTTACCTAACAAATCCACAGAGTAACAGACAAGCAGCACACAAAACAATGCCGTTGTATAAAGAAGACAATTTCCTTATAATACAACCGGGATCAAAGTACACTCTCTTCACATTTGGATTGAAAGATTCGCTATCGCCACCCCAATTTAGGATTCCCACAATTGTTTACAAAGACAATAATTCCAATCAGTATTTATCCACAGCCAGTGACAATACAACCGCGATATACCCCATTCAACATGGCAAGATAGTTGAATTGGATGCATTCAATGCATTGATACAGACTGTGTTATCGAGTGTCATTCAACAGAACCCGGTCATAACCATCAATCAAATACCATTGTTGATTATTGCACCTACATTGACTTGGTCCAAGAGACAACTCGAGTATATAACAAAATTTGTGTTTGAGACATTGGAAATCACTGCTTTCAATGTGTTGGATTTGAGCCTCGGTGCTACTTTTAGTTTTGCCAATACTGTCAATACATTAGTTGTGAATATAGCTGAGGATAATGTACAGATTGTCCCTGTTATAGGATACCAAGGTATCAAATTTGCAGGAGAATACATTCCGGGCAAAGGTGGTGTGACGTTGGATGAAGAGTTGAAGGCTAAGTTCCCCAATTATACACCACAACAAATTGAGGATTTGAAATTAAGTGGAATATTTGAGTTTTTACTTGAAGGGGAAGAGTCGATTGGGGATATGAATTTAGATGTGGATATGGATGCTGAAGACGCTAATGAGTTTGACGTTGCAAAAGCTTTAACTACTGACGACGGGGAACAAAAGAAGGAGACGGAGGAGAAGAAGACGGAGGAAGAGGAGGAAGTCGATGAGACGCAGTTGAAATCGAATAAGGAATTAGAAAGGAATTACTTTATTGACTCTTCCACAGGTGAGAAAGTTTGGGTTGGCAAAGATCGATTCACTACTGACTCAAAGTTGATTGGAATCGTTGCTGGTGGCATCTACAAGACACTTTTGAGAATCAATGATCTTGACAAGAGACAAGATTGTTATGACAATATCATAATTGTTGGTGCGGCAGCTCTGGTGCCTGGATTGAAGCATAAGATATATGCTCATTTACTCCATGAGTATTTGGTTAAGGAGCCAGTCGACAAGACCACCAACGGAGCTGCCAATAAACAAAATGAGATCAATGCTGCTATTGCAAAGTATCAACAAATGGACGATGCACAAGACGGAGATTCACAGCTGGCTATGAGCCAGGTCCCATATCGCATCAGATACGCCAAGCCATCTGACTACTTCCCCGAATGGAAGAAACCAAAAGAAAAAGGTGGTTCATGGCACGATTGTTTTTTCCTTGGTGGTGAAATCTATGCTAAACAGATATTTTCCGGAGGATCCCATCATCATAACAAAGAGTTGTTTGTGGGCAGTGATATGTATGAGGAAAGAGGTCCACAAAGCATTTGGGATGTAAGTATTTAGAAAAAGCGTTGTATACTATAGTACAGAGGAACAGAGAGTTTTACTTTGTATTACGCGAAAAGTTTCTGTTCTGTTATTTTGTTATTTTGAAAGACACGCGTTTTAGAAACAGCAAAAAGGAAACACAACAGGAACACTAACTGAGATCCTATTCTCAAGCACAATTAACTTGTTATCTACTCCCTCTACCCTTGTTTATGGTCTGTTTGAGAACGGGTCGAGTGAGTTTATTAGCGGCGTTTATCAAGCGGGGAAGTTATCAGTATAGAATCACCATGGCTCAACAACAATCAATTGCACGGTTTTTTGGTGGAACCGCTTCTTTGGATGCAGCGACGAAACGAAGAGCATCGAGCCCACCGTCACCAAAGAGGGAAAGCACTGCCTCACCAAAGAGCCCAAACAAATCCAACCCGCTTACTCTACCCGACTCATCGCCAAAGTTAAAGAAACAGAAGTTAAATGGAGATGACAAAGACAAAGACAAAGATAGAGAAGAAGAAGAAGAAGAAGATGAAGCTGAGAGCAAAAGTGGGTCCAGTTCTGACTCAGAGCCTACCAGCAAGCTGGCCTCGGAAAAGGAAGCAAAGAAATTGATAGAATTAAGCGAGTCTCAACAAAAACAAAGCCAACAAGAACGGTCAGGATCAGCTTTGTCCCCCTTGAAAATACCTTATTCATCATTAATCGATATCATGGAGAAAATTGAATCCGAATCATCTCGATTGAAAATCACCGCCATTATATCACAATACTTTCTTGAAATTCTTCAACAACAAAATGACGTTTCCAAGTTGGTTAAAATCGTTTACTTGTTTATCAATAGGTTGGGTCCTGATTACGAACCAGATTTGGAGTTGGGGTTAGGTGAGACATTGCTAGTCAAGGCTATCAGTGAAGGATATGGACGCACACCAGCAAAGATTAAACAAGATTTAAAAGAATATGGGGATTTAGGGATCGTTGCTCAAAAATCGCGCAGTGGACAACGGACAATGTTCAAACCTACTAGCTTGGACGTCGATACTGTATTTGATAACTTGACGAAAATTGCCAAATCTACGGGAAAGGATTCACAATCAAAGAAAATTGGTATTATTAACAAAATGTTAACTGCTTGTGACGCAAAGCATAATGAAGCAAAGTTTCTAATACGGTCATTGGAGAATAAATTGAGAATCGGCTTAGCGGGGCCTACGATTTTAGTAGGACTAGCTCAAGCTTTTGTCAATTATGAAAATCTGAAACAGGAGAAACCAAAGAAAGTTAGTCCTGAAAAATTAGCTGAGGCAGAAAATATCGTCAAGGAGGCATATACGCGAATTCCCAATTATCAGATTTTGATTGAAAATGCATTTCAATATGGAGTATTCAATTTGTTGGACCATTGTAAATTGACTCCTGGAATACCTTTGAAACCAATGTTGGCGAAACCTACAAAGTCAATGAGCGAAGTGTTGGATCGGTTTCAGGATGAAAAATTCACTTGTGAATACAAGTATGATGGAGAGCGAGCACAGATTCACTTGTTGCCTAACGGAGATGTGCGCGTTTATTCAAGAAATTCGGAAGACATGTCACAACGGTATCCCGATTTGATCTCAATCATCAAAGAGTTCAGCAAGACTCAAGAGCATACTTCATTAATTTTGGATTGTGAAGCAGTGGCATGGGATAGAATCAACAAGAAGATTCTACCATTCCAAGTGCTTTCAACTAGGAAAAGAAAAGACGTCAATGAACTGGACATAACTGTCCACATTTGTCTTTTTGCGTTTGATTTACTCTACTACAACGATGAATCATTATTAACTCGCTCATTACTGGAGAGAAGATCCATCATGTTTAGCCATCTTCAACCTTTGGAAGGAAAATTCCAATTTGCAACTTCCAAAGACTCAACATCGTTGGAAGTGCTCCAGCAATTTCTTGACCAGAGTGTCCATGATTCATGTGAAGGGTTAATGGTGAAGATGCTCGAAGGCTCCGAATCGTATTATGAACCATCGAAACGATCACGTAATTGGTTGAAATTGAAAAAGGACTACTTGGCAGGAGTGGGTGACTCATTGGATCTCGTTGTGATTGGGGCCTACAATGGTAAGGGGAAACGAACAGGAACGTATGGTGGGTTTTTGCTTGCTTCGTATAATCAAGACACTGGGGATTTGGAGACTACATGCAAGATAGGTACTGGTTTCAGTGATGAGATGTTGACGCAATTGTATGAGAAATTGCATACACTGGAAACTGCCAAACCCAAGGAGTATTTTGTTTACGACAAGACCAATTCCAATGCGGTTCCTGATGTTTGGTTTGAGCCAACTATGTTGTTTGAAGTCTTGACGGCAGATTTATCATTGAGCCCAATTTACAAGGCCGCCCATGGTGAGTATGGAAAGGGAATCAGTTTGAGGTTTCCTAGATTTTTGAGAATTAGAGATGATAAAGGAATTGAGGATGCTACTAGCTCGACTGAAATTGCTGAATTTTACGAACGTCAAGCCCATGTACAAAATTAGTCAGTGAATAAATTATTAATGATTCGTAATTTGTTTCTCTTTTAATGCAATGACGAGGTAAGGAGTGTTATATTTGTGTCCTCTTTTGCTTCATTTTATCAAATATCTTTCCTTTTAATGATGTCTTGTTTCCAAAATTCAATTCAATTCGTTCTTCAGATGGTGTTTGCGATAAACTTGGCCGTCCGCGTAGTGGCGAAGACACATAATGCTGGCGCTGCTGTTGATTTTGGAGATCAATATGGTGCTTATGATCATCATACAAAGTAGCACTCGAATTGAAATTTGATTGTGGGTCAAGATCAAGATTCTTGTTGGTGACATTTTTGTGTAGATGATAATCACTAAAGAGGGGTAGATTGGTGTACGACTTAGCTTCGGCATCCAACAAGGAAATACCATCAGACATGGATGATGAATGAGATAAACTTTCGCCCATTTCACTGGCATTGGAAGCAGTGTCAACATCTTCATTAACATGTAATTTGCGCTCCGCTTTGCGTCTCGATTGGCGTCTATTTCTCATTTCCTGAGTCTTTTTCTCCTCTTCCTCATCAGAATCAACATATTCAACATCATCAGAGATTCGTAATGAATTTTTCAATTCCAATAAATTAAAGTCCTTGGGGAACAATTCAGGTCCATATGTGTTTACCACGTCGGTAATCTCTTCACTCAATTCACGTCTCATTTTCTTAAGCCTCCTTATAGCGGACCCGGAAGTAATTGAAAGGTACAATGGTCTGATTGACTTGAACAAATCCATTCCTTGCTCGCCTGTTAACAAGGCACTGTAAGTGACAAAGACACCACAAAGGTACAAAAATATCCAAAGCCAAAACAAGCCAAACGATGATAATAGTCCGTGGGTTGAGCAATAATAAGTGCCAATTGATGCATAAAAGGAGTATACAATTGGTGCGATACCCATTGCAACCAAGATTTTCCATGTTGCAATAACATCATTTGCTTGAATCTTGACAACTGAGTTTGCCAACGCTTCTTTCGCCTTTCTGCGAGATATGATCTTGGACGAAAGAAACACAGGCGAGAAAAGGGTTGCTCCCGGTAATGCCAAAATGAACAAAATTATCAATTTAAAAATTCTGAAAACCAAAATGGGTAAAAGTTTAGCCTTGTATCCTTCATCCTGACAATCTTCGACATGGTGGTCAGGTAAATGCAAAGTTTTCAATAGATCATTGTACTCCAACACTCTTTTTTTCACATCTTGAACCTTTGGCTCATCCTTGTAATGCTCGTAGCCAATCACCAACCGTCGATTCATTTCAACAATCAACGGTAGCGGCAACTGTTGAGCAAAATTTCCAGCGTATAATCTTCTCCCAGCTTGAATCAACATCAAAGTCTCGTAATCCTCGCACGTTACTGTAACTGCTTTCAAACCAGATGTGATCAATGCTAACAAATCTTTAACTGCCTCTGATGTAGTTTCTGGATTGGCATATTTCTTAACCAACTCTTTGGGAATTACTATAGGATCACCAAACTCAACAACAGCTCTAGACCTGAACTTGTGAGCATGGAAATAATTCATTCCACAGGGGACTACTTTTACATTGCAGTTGGGGTTGTTTTCCATTGCTCCCAACGCCATCACAGCAACACCAGCTTTCAAGGGTAACAAGTCAGTACGATCATGCGAGCCTCCTTCAGGAAAAATCCCGATACTTCCATTATCCAGTAAGTGATCAAAGACTGTCTGATAAACTTGTTTTTGATTAATCTTGTCTGCCTTTTTAAATGAGGTTCCATTGGCTAACAACTGATCTATTTGGTTTGTTTTTTTAAAAGCCTTTCTGATGCACAATTCAGTGTCCGATTTGATTTCCGTTATTTCACTAGCTCCAAGTGATTGTGGTAATGCAAGTAGGCCTCTAACCATACACTCCTCAGTGAATTTGGTGCCTTTGCCCCAGATACGACACGGATCTTCCTTATCAGCATAGATTCTACCTGAACCTTTACTCAAATTATCCTGGGGTCTAACCACTGGTATACTCAACTGGCACTTGGCCATGTGACCAATAAAATTCTTTTGATAAGACTTGGCAGCAATCAAGAATGATATTCTTCGGTTAGCCTCCTTCTTGATTTGGCCCAGTAGGATGATTGGGTCCACAAATTGATTATGATGAGGAGCGGCAACAAAGATAACGGGGCCCTCTCGAGGTATTTTGAATGCACCTCGAGGTCGAATCTCCCTAAAGAAACAATCCATGACGATAGATAATGCCCAGAGTAGCAAGTCGTAGCCTGCCAATCTGTACCAAGCAGGTCGCTGGTACTGCAATGTGGCGGAAGCAGCCATACTTGTGGAGCTATAAGGCGTATGTGGGTGGAGATATGGAGAGATGGTTATAGGTAACCCAAAATAAGTATGAAATTGGCTCCCCCTTTACAAAATGTGATGAAGGGGAAAAAAAAAAAAAAAGATCCAAAGTCGGAACGGGAGTAAAAACACTCAAAACACTCTCTTTACCCACCCATCGACTTGGTGATTGTTGCAAATGATATACATTTGACACTTATTGCAAGGTATTGAAAGCTATTATGAGCTCAACGTTAAGATTATTTATATGAGCTGAAGCAAACTAGTAAAATTCAAGATTCTTCCAATTTTTTTTTTAACGACTTTTGGATTCAGGGAATCACACTGCAATAGAGCATTGGTAAAGAGTGAAACCTAATGAGCCATATACATGTTAGGGCGGTAACTTTCTCTGAGTGTTGTGCTCGTGGTGTTTGAGTAGAGTTGTGGTTCTTTTAGCTATCCACAGTATATATACAACGTTTTTGTTTTGTCTCGTTTTCTGTCTCTCTGACGTTTTCCTTTTTATTTTTTTTTTTCTTCGCCTTTCTGCACATTATCTTTGGTTTCCGACATTCAAAGTACACTGATCTGACTGTTTTGTTCAATCAATTGCGGGGAGGGTGTATACTATATTCTTTGGTGATGTCTAGATCATTGTCCATTTCAAATGCCGACTTGTCTACCCGGGACGCCGAAAACGAGTCCAACACCAATGCCAGGAGTGCTCTGATTAGCGCAAACATTTTCAATAGCCATAGCGGAACTCACAACAACAACGACAACGACAACAACAAAAGTGAAAGAGGAAGCAGTACAAATGGAGAGGCAGAACTAAGTTCAAATATCGATATAGTTGGAGCTATTAATACTTTAAAATTGGACGAGGAAGATGGGGCTGAGGAGGAAGTGGAAGAGAAAGACGCAGAGCTCACGACAACAGGCTCGGTGGTCGATACCACCAACACCGAAGGGATCAATCACGGATTCCCCATGTATCCTCCTCACCCACAAAGTCCTTATTACTATGCCCCCTATCAAGGATCAGTGACTCCTCAAAGACAATTGAGTGGGATCAATGGTGGACCACCACCAGCTACCTATTATTCAGGATGGAATGGCAGTGCTAATGGATTTGATAACAAGTTCAGTGCTATAAACCATAGCCAAAATGGAGTACAATATGTGCCAGTTTCAGAGCCGCCATTGCACAGTGCCAAGAGTGAGGAGGGACCGCATATCCCCTTCATCAAACCGCTTGAACTACCTGACTCTAAAGAGGACGCAGACGCACAGAGTAAGCAACTGACTGGGTTGAGTTTGTCCCTGGTAGGTGAAACAGCGACAACAACTAACGAAGCTGCTGTTAAAGACGAGGAAACGGAGAAGGACATGCGCAACAACAACAACAACAACAACAACAACAACAACAATAATAATAATAACAACAACAAAGATGTCGAAAAGCACGCACAAAAAGGAGTTGGCACTATTGCACCACAATTTGCAAATGTTACTTCACCTCCACCTTTTAATCCGTTTTCGCCTATACCAATGAATCATCATCCGCATCATCCGCATCATCATCCAATGGGACCAGGAGTGCCGCCAGGAGTGCCTTCTCCAATGTTGCCATACAACTATCCATTACCCCCTCCTCCACCTCATCATCAACAACTACCTAGTCCGGGAAACTTTCACAACTTTGATGGAAAGTTGGGTGGAAACTCCCCGTTGCCCCATCCACAGTCATCACCTTCATTCAACACGGGGCCAGAGAATAATAAACAGAGAGGTTCAGTGTGGAATGCTAATGAACATAGAAGTGATCCCAGGGGATTTGTGCACCAGTCAGCTGCCGCTCCTCCACATCCCCAAGCACATCATCTCAGCGGTCTCCCGTTTCCAATGGGACCTCAACAAGCACCACTGATCCCACAACACCCACAACAACAACAACAACAACCACATCCTCAGCAGCAGCAACATCAGCGTCAACAACAACAACATCATCATCACCAACTACAACAACAACACCATTACCCCCACCACCAATTTCCATACCAGCAACATATACACCCCCTGCATTTCCAGAGTGGCCCCAATGGAAGCCATACTGGTCCTTTTGTTCCAAACCACTTCAATCGCGGCTACAATAATCGAAGGAGTAATAAACGTGGAGGACACCATTATCAACAATATAATGGAACGGGACACAATGGTAGCGATTACCGTCATCGCAAGGGAGAGGAATCAAACAAGTATCAGAATGCAAATATTCGCGACTATCGAGACCATATCATGGGTCTTACCACGGATCAACATGGATGTCGATTTTTGCAGCGTGAATTGAGCAAAGAGCAGGGGAGTAGGTCGAAAGAGGTAAAACAAGAAGACGAAGGCGGTACCAATGGGGTGGAGACAAAGCAAGAGGAAGGAGATGCTAGAGAGCAAAAGAACCAAAATGCTACTGATGAAGATGATGATGATGACTCTGTGGCTACTTTAGTTTTGAATGAGCTACATGACGATGTTGCAGATCTAATGCTCGATCCATTTGGGAACTACTTGATTCAAAAATTGTTTGAATGTATTACTATGGAGCAGAGGTTGGATTTGATTAAAAATTGTAGCCCACAATTCAATCGTATAGCTTTAGATTCGCATGGGACTAGGGCATTACAAAAGTTGATTGAATGTGTTGGTCACAAGACAAACGGTGACCAAAAAGAAAGCGATACGCAACTCGAGTGTGCTAGATTGATCATTGAAAGCTTGGCCCCTACTATAATTTCACTATCTAAGGATTTAAATGGTAATCATGTTGTACAAAAGTGTCTTGTCAATTTCTCAAATGAAACCAATCAAGTGATTTACGATGCAATTAAGAACAATTGCGAAATGGTTGCATGCCATCGACATGGATGTTGTGTATTGCAACGATGTCTTGATTATGGAAGTAAACTACAGATTCAGTCACTTAGTCATGAAATCACTCAAAGATTGGATAAATTCACATATGATCCTTATGGCAATTATGTCATTCAATACGTGCTAACTCATGGTGATGAGCAAAGTATTGATACAATATTTGATTACCTACGATTACACTTCTATGAGCTATCCATACATAAATTTGGATCAAACGTGTTGGAGAAATCAATACGGTTAAACGATAACAATAGGAGCATGGTGTTGATTGATGAGCTTTTGAGGTTGTCACAGGATCAATTTTTAAAAGTGTTGAATGACTCATTTGGTAATTATGTGTTGCAGACGTGTTTGGATGTGGCACAATTGGATCAGATGACGAAATTGAGAGATATCTTGGTTCCGTTGTTGCCTGATATTAAACAGACTCCACATGGTAAACGAATTGTAAATAAACTACAGTGAGAAGGAGGGGGGGAGGATGTGCAAGTATGTATGTCCTGAATAAAGACTTTCAAATTGTCTAGAACAAAGATAAAAAGGGGGGATCATATAAATGGAATCAATTTTGAAGACTGTGATTAGATAGCGATGTAGTCCTTTGAACACGTGGTTTATCTTATCTCTAGTACTCTAGAGAGTGCCGATTTCCTCGCTTCAAAGAAACTCGCATATAAGAATTGGTGTGACTTCTGTTGGGTGAATAGTGATAACGCAATTATCCCCTACTTAGAAAGGGGGATCTGTTGACTGAATCACCAGATTGCCCTTCTCACCCTCACCCTCGCCTTCACCTTCACCCCGTTCCCCTTCCAGTATTTGTAATCTTCTGCTTACGTGTCAAATCACAACTAAGAATCTCCTGCCTTCCCCTCCTGTCAAAAACACACTAATGCTGTCATTAAAGAAAAATATTCTGACTCATAATGCGCTACCCGAACTCCTATCTACCCAAAAAAAAGAAAAAAAAAATAAATAAATAAATAAATAAATAAAAAGTTTTGTTGTTTCTCTCTCAGTGTAACAAAAAATTTCTGTTGAGTAAAAATAGAGGAAAAAATTGTGGCGTTGTTCTTTTTTTTTCTCTTTTTATTGCTTCCCCTCCTTTGATCGTTTAACAATTGCAATTTTTATATTGTACGCATACATACACACACATACATAATAAATGTTTGTTCCAGAACAATAGAAAAAAAGAAACCAAAAAAAAAAGGAAAAGTATGAAAATACGACACGACACTGAAAACTATACTGAGAAAAAAAGAGGAGTTATTCTGCGACACTGCCTTGTTTTTGAAACACTTCATATATAAAAAAACAAGGGAGGGGTAAATTTCTTCTTTTTTTTGCAACAATTTAAAATCTCTATCTCTCTCCTCTCTTTCTATACGAGCACGAACACGACAAAAGTCTTGAAAACAAAAAAAAAGCACCTTGAACATATATAAATACACAACTAAATAATCTTTGCCACTTGAAACTCAAACTCCAACGCAACCACAACCACAACCACNCAACCACAACCACAACCACTTTTCTTTCATTCCAATCGACTCAATCAATCACACAATACATTACCTCAACACCAGACAATGCTTTCTAAATCATCAACTTACCAGCCATTGAAAAGATCAATTTTTGCTGCTGCTCAAACGCGTCGCCATTTCAGCAACTCATGTATCTTGACACAACCTCAATACCAACAACAGCTGCCCTTTACTGAAGGAAGTCAAGCCAATTACAATTATAGCTATCTTCGCCATTTCCAACTGAGACATAATGCACCAGATGCAAATAAAAGCAGCATTGACATTAATTACTCAGCATCTATGTTTGGACTCAACTCAAGTATAACAACTGGTATTACATCAAATGAAGTAGAGGAGTCATGGAGGTATGCCGATTTGGTTCATCCGCACGTTGCTGAATTTGCCGATTTGTTTTAAGTGGTGGTGAAGGTAGCATAGGAGAAGGGAAAGGAGTGATGATGTTGCTGCTGACAATACTAGCTAATGTGTCAGAACACACACACACACACACACACACCACGCATAGGTTTTATTCATTAATTTTTTTAATCTAATTTTGGGGATCAGGTTCATTTTCATTTCAGATCACTTTCAAAATAACTAATAAATTTTATTTTGGTTGTTTTGATCTTTTAATTTTTCATATATGCGTGGAAGGTGCTGTTGATTGGTCATGTATAGCTTTGATATATAGTCACTTTGATAAATGTCAATACTCAATTCTATTTCTAGTTACTAATGTAAATGTACTTGCTGTTTTATAAACTATATAAATAGAAAACGCAAATGCAACAAAAACATCATAACAAACCTCAATCGTATATACAACAACCCTGCAAGAAACACACACAGCAAATACTCTTCTTCATTTTGAGCAAGTTCGTCATTGTTCAGCCATAGTTTCGATGATGATAAGAAAGAGAATCAAGCGATCCTCTTCTTCTCCTTTCATTTATATCAACAACTTCATCTTCATCCTCATAGTCGTCAACACGTCTTGAAGGATCAACTCCATCTTCATGATCATCAGCATTCGTAATGGCATTGCCATCTGCACCTCGAGTCGGGCTATTTGTATTCTGTCTTGGTGATCTCAAAGTGCCATCACCACCATCAGTCAGATTATCTTGACGATTCAACATCCGTTCAACTTCTTCATCAGTAAATGTCTCTATTCCATTGGCTGTACGCATGCTAATCAATCCACCGGGATGCAACGTCATTTCACGATGTCTCCGCCTAGTTTCAATATCAACATCATCGTCAGCATCAGCATCTCCATTTAGCCGGCTCGATGTGTTCCTCAAACCTGAAAACCCATTTCGAATATAATTCATAATCTCACTATATCCAGGCAAAAACGACCTCGAACGTTCTTGTTCTTCATAATCATTGGCACCACTTCTTCTCATTCTTTCTCTGAATCCAGAATTTATACTCCTAGATCTGGTTGCTCTTTCACCACTTCTATCTTCATTCTCTTCTCCTTCCCCATCTGGTCGTATTGCACCAATACGTCTCATTCTTCCCTCCAACCCAGGAGATGTATCTCGAAGCCGAGCAAATGGTCGTTCACCTTGATTACGCAATGCCTGAATATACGTAGGAGGTTGAGCGGAAGCACCACCGCGGCCAACAAAATCAGCACCATTGGCGGAATTGACTCTACGGAATGGTGATGGGTTTGCACCTGTCTCACTTCTCACCATACGTTCCCTTGCTTCTCTTGCTTGTTGCATCACTCGCAAAAGCGGCTCAATTGAATGATTATTCAGATTGTTTGGAGTAGTAACGCCATCCTCATTTTCACGTCCACGGCTTACTTCACTACTGCGTCTCATTGCTTGACCCATCAATGCCGGCCTCAACAATTGGGCTAAACGATCGGCAAAACTAGCTTGTGTAGGGTCATCACTATTATTCCCTCCTCCAACATCATTTCCAGCATTTCCAAGATCAGGCAAACTTTCATGGGGGATGGTGTAAAACGTGTAATTTTGACCATTGATTTGTTGATGCTGAGCTTGAGGTAGGCCTTGAAAAACACCGGTACCTGGTGAGTCACGTGCGTGCTGTTGTCCTTGTGAGTTCACGGGCTCAGCAACAGAGTGCCTGCACAAGGGGCACGTCGAGTGTTGTTTCAACCATTCGCTCAAACAATCTTGACCAAAGATGTGGTTGCACGGCATCTTTATTGGCGAATGATCAAATGGGTCTTTCACATCAATTAAGTAAACAGGTTGCGATGTGTCTTGCGTCGGCGGCGACAGTGGTTGTGGTTGTGGTTGTGACGCTGTTGTCGTGGAAGAATGAGGCAGATGCATTGATTGATTTTCATTTGTTATTGGTGTTGTGCCATTTGATGGAGCTCTCGAGCCAAAAGTGGGTCTAGAAGACATGTTGCTTGATGCTATAGGCGTCACGTAGTCACTAACAGAACTAGTCTCGGATCCATTTGGAGTACGCCTCTCCCCATCTTCCATTCTCTCGGTGTGCGACCTCGAAAACCGCCTCAATAATCTTGAGGTCTTATCAACAAGCCGTCTCTTCTTTCGCACAACAACTCCTTCTCTAGCCCCCGTCGAGTTGCTGGCATCCTTCTTACTTTCCTCGTCATCAACCAGTGCTTGATCATAAACTTCATCTTCGACCTGTTCTTCCTCCATAACGTCTTCAAATTCTTCAAAACATATCGAACAAACTTTAGATTCTTCTTCATTCAAATGACGCACATTCACTTTTTCAAACAGCTCAAATTTATTCAAAGTGATACCTCTTGGTTGGTTGTGTAGGCCATTCATCACCATTGAGTATGCCATCTGTGTGGCAATTCTAATAAACTCTTGTATGGAACCAGGGTCACGATTATTGGAGTTGTTGGGTAAGGAAAGAACAAGTGAGCCCGACCGATTAGGGTTGTCAGGAGTATTTTGATCAGAAAACAAATAGTTGACAGTGATGACAATAGCTCTATTATGGGTGTCAGTATCGGTACCGTTACTATTGTTGTTATTGTTGCTGTTGCTAGCGCTATTGATGGTATCCAACAAGTCGTCGAGTATATTTGGTTGATTGTCTGACGTGGTGTTATTGGTGTCTGAAGTCGTTTCGTTGGTGGCGTTGTTGGTATCAGTGTTTGCTGTGTTGTTGTTGTTGCTGTTGGTAGTGCTTGCGTTGTTGTTATTATCAGCTTCAGTAGGTTCTCTTTCAGAATTATCAACAGTGTGATGATTTTGCTCTGGTTGTGCATTTGACTCGGTGGTTTCTTCCACCATTGACTGATTTGTGTTATGCTGTAAATCTCGATACAGAGAATTAGGGAAAAACTCAGCTATTCTCGACTCAAAGTCCAGTTCATTATTAGCTTCTTCTCTTTGGAAGTCAGTTTGGGTATTGCGTCCTATACGCGGCAGCTCTGTAACATCTCTGTCGGTTCCTTGTATTTCGTTGACAATAAAGTTGTCTTGATCTCCTGTATTATCACTCTCCATCTTCTTCTTTTTCCTTCCGCTTGTATAGGAACGTCCTTTGCCAAGTAATGTACGAAACAGTCCTCTAAGACGTCCTGTTGATGATGGTTCTAGTGTATTTTGTTGATCAGCAGTACCGGTGGCAAATGTTGGTGTCTGCAGTTGAAATAAATTTAATGCTTTAGATAATCGCTTAAAAAAGTTTGGCTGCTGTCGTTGCTGGTGCTCGCGTGACCTAAATTGCGAATGAGAAATTGAGGATGATTCAGGTTGGTTGGTGTTGTTGTTGTTGCTGCTGCTGCTGTTTCTGTGGTGGTTGGTGGTGTTATCTAGAGGTGTAGACATATATGTATATATGTATGCTCTAGATAAAAGAGTGATATATAATGGTTATGTATTATATGATCTGGTGGCTGTAGTAATAGTAATAGTAATAGTAATAGTAATAGTAATAGTAATAGAATTAATTACTAATTGAGCAGCGAGAAAGAAAGAAAAAAAAAAAAAAACAAAAAAAAGCAAAAGATTAAACAAAGCTAAAAATAAAAAAAAATAAAAAGAAAATTAGTAACTTCTCTTGATTACATCATAGATAGTATCATGATACTTTATGACTTCTACAGATATTGATAATGTCTAGGAGGTTGAGATATGTCCAATAATCACTAGTTGTTGACTAACCAGACACATTTTCTACAATTACTCTGTAATAATACGAAGTTCAGGGAAAAAGTTGATGATTGTTGCCCCTTGTTTTCTCCTCTTTTTGTCTTTACCTATCTACTTTTTGTTAACTCCGAAGGGGTTCACCTTTCCCAACATGGGAAAGGGGGGTGGAGGGCACGAAGTTCTGGAAGGAGCTACCGAGTCAGTCATGTCTCTTCGTCTCCTCTACAGATAGAGATTTACTCTTGTAAAAAACTTATACAGCTTAATTGCATAGATCATTTCCATTATTGGTTGCTCGGAGGGGCCCTTACTCTGAGGTGGCGATCGAAACTGGCAAAATATTTCAATTCTTCTTCATAAGAGTTACACTCAGTATAATCACACTCTATGTCGTTATCATACAAGTAATCACATTAGCTACCCAAGCTCTCCTTTAAAACCATCTTACGTTTTCGTAGAACCAACTTCGACATCTTCGTGACACATTGTGCTGTAAACTTCAATCAATGCTTGCAAAAGTAATGAACGCTACCGCAAATCTTTCTACACCGCTTGCTGCAATTCATTCTAACTCTTCAACTCTAAGGAACGCTGCTGAGGACTAAGGACTTTGGTAGCCTAAATCCAGTACTCTAAAAGAGAACAA